TGTGAGCTGTTATAAGACACCAAACAGTCTTCAGAATATAACCAAATTATCAAGTTATTTCAAACAACACTGAATAATTTTAATAGCCAAATACTTTAACATATTGATAAAATATAACATAACTGACTAAACATCTGTCTGTGTGTGGTCTATCCAGACAGGATAGAATAACATTTATTTGTTGTGATTGGTAATTTTCTCGCATCCATCATCAACTTCATTATTTATTGTAATTTACATTTGATTACTTGAACAATTATTGGTTGGATATCTGTGTTGTCATAATTGTTTAGGTAACAATGTACATCTAAATTTATGATGAATTTCACAACTGTCATTACTTTGTTTTGGTTTAAACCGTGCAAGTGCGCGTATCTAACCCACCTAGACAGCTATTCTTCAGTCCAAACCTTAGTTTGGATCTTACATATTTTATGGTATCAGTGAGCAGGAATGATGTGAATGAAAACAGACATCAAAAATATCCCTAATGTTGCGAAGTGTAATTAGAAGAAAATTCAGTAATTGCCTTATCTCATTTATTTTAATGGACTGAGCTTTCGATTTCATCATTCTCTCAGCTATTCACTAAATAGTATACATTCAAGGGATCTCAAATCACCCTGAGAAGTTCAGTTAAACATATGAATTTATGGTCTGCTGTTTTATCTAAAGATTTCTTCGAAATTCAGGTGAATACCCATGATGCATATTGTAGATAATGTGTCAGTATTTGTTTAACCATTCGCATGTTCATGAAACCTGTGAAAAGAAAATAATTATAAATCAAGAGTATCAGTAACTTATGTGAAGACTTTCCAATTTCAAGATGAAAAACCATAATGCCAAAGGTAATTAAAATTTAAAAGGGTGAAAATTATTTGTCTCTAATTCAGTATGTTCATATATTTGTGAGAAAAAATAGATGATAAATTAGTAATAATACCGTTTCAGTCACTTGTAAATGGCATCATGGCACGATTCGAATAATTTATTATCAATCATTCGAGCATCAAAGAACGTGAACATGACAGAATAGAAGTGATTTCGACGAATTTATGATCAACATGGAAATGAAGTAATGGAAAATCCAATGTCTTACTGTGATGCCACCTGAAAACAAAAATTTCAAATACAGTGCGATTTTTTTGATCAAATCAGCGTTCCAACTATTAAGTAAATAGAATGAACCAATGATGACAACCAGTGACATAAGGGCACCTAAGTTTTAGTCTTAATTTCAGGTTTCAAAGCGTCGTTTAACTGATTGACTATTGTTTTGCTAAGCTGACCTCTCACTGTCATCTAATTGGTATAGACTTTCTACTCACTTATGAAACATATATATTAGTGTGTGGTCTTCATGAAGGACCACTGTCGGTAGGAGGATATGCGCTCGACTTTGTTTGGTATGAAACCTTGCTATGGCATGATAACAATACCAATACATATGATCACCGATGACGGAGAGTGAAACTGACATTGGTGTGACGGACAAGAGTGTATTTTTAGAGAACAGCTCTATACTATATGTTCCGGTATACAGTGCGACGGGATAAGAGTACTGATTGTAGTAATCGAGTGCTATTTACGGGTAGTGAAAAATAAATCGTGCAGTTATATATGTGAAGAAATAGATAAGATGAACATAATCGTTACTAATTGGACAGCAATGTGGGGTCGGATACTTGATGTATGTATATACATTAAAGTAAGAATCACCGATTAAATTTTTAAAAAATGGCTGGAGTTCGATTTATATTGTCGTTGAAACGATAATTGCCGCGTACCAATGTGATCAATAAACATTAGTCACATCTGAAGAGCATAAGTCCTTACTACCGCAAGTATGACTCCAGACTTATATCTGTGACAGTGTTGTGATCATGCTGTTATCAACGTGCATGAGGTTTGCTTGGCTGCTTAGACTGACGATTCATGTCTGTCTTCAGACCGAGAATTTACTCGACAGGTTACAGGTTGTTTGGTATACGAACAGCTAGTAAATCTGTCGAAAATAAATGACATGTGATATTCATATATCCACAAAAATGAACGATAGTATCTAAACCATTGGTATGATGAATGATCCAGAACAAGATAAAGGTCGCCGATCCTAGCAAAAGGCTTATTAGAATTAAAGCCATCCACAGGCACAATAGATTATGTGGAAATGAAAAATATGTGGTATGACAACGTAAAAATGACCTCAGCTATGTGAACAAGTGAGTTTTGAGTATCAAAATGTGGAGCGTTCATAAAATTATAATTTGTTCGGTGAGTGATATGCCACAAGTTAGTGTCAGCACGAACAAAAATAATAATTTTACATCGTGATGATATGGATATATGAAAATTATGGTAATCATAATGGAACAATCCTCCAAATAGATCAATGAGCAGAGTTGACATGAGGACAAAGTGCAGATAAGGTAATGGAATTGGAGCGTATCCATGTCACTGCAGTACTAGCTTTGCTGAGTGGGCCGGATTAGAGATTGAGTAATTCGAGTTGCTCATTGACTTCAGTTCCTTAGATTGTTTAGCGAATGTGTAGAGTTCAAAATGTTCACTGTCTGCGTAGATCTGCAGGGTGTGTTTTATTCGAAATTCAGCTTACTACATTGGCGGTGACATTTTTGGAGCCCGAGATCAGGCTCCATTTGAATTGTACGAATGATTGCTAGTGAAATATACATATTGCCAATTCTCGTGTATTATTATCGACTTAATCCACGTTGATGAATAACGGGATTAAATAAGCCAAATACGAGAATGGATTTCGGATACGTATATTTTGTACAATCATTGATCTGAACTGACACTCAGAGACGTAGTGAAGGAAAGGAAGAAGAGAGAGCAAAACGAGACAGTGCGTAGTGGAGAAGACGTGTGAGTCAAACCATTTAATTCAGCATTATTCATTATGTATAGCCAGATAAAATTAAGTTACAGACATGTGAAGAATAGGATAAGAAGTGTTGTATTTCGGCGACTCTTTATTGGGATTTTGTGCGTCACTTTATCAAAAAACCCACGGGCTTACCCGTGTTCAATGAATAAATTTCCACACTTTACCACGATTATTTCAACGTCTGATACCTTTTATCGCTTATGTTCAGTGTTTGTATATCTGCTTTCCCACTGCTTTCGTATGTGATTGATTACCCACGCTTAGTGGTCACTGTTCTGTCATTCAAGTCGATCACTGCCCGAATTCCTCTGAGAAAATCTTCTCCGTTTGGTTACATTGAAACGATGCTGTATTCCACACTCATTCATTCCTACTCAGCAGCCCCTCACCCCTAGAATTTTAAGCGCCAGTCCACTCGAGGAACTGAGGTGCCAGTAACCGATCCTTCGAATATTTGCCGAGTGCTGATAAAGTACAGCGTAGCAAGTTAGTTAACGTAGACGGTAATACATGTAGACCTCCTTCCGGTGCGAGATGTAGGTCTCGAAGCAGCTGTAATTCCCCGTGATAAATGGTTCAGTGAGTTTCTGACAATAATACAGACATGATGAGATTTACTGGATATGTCTTAGCTGAAGGTGCTCGATCACACTTCCTTATCATTTCATTATTGGGTAAGCTGTTGTACACAACCCTCATAACATTTAGTTTGTTGAGTACACACGCATCTCTATATACTATCTTCTAAATCATCCATTGAAACTTCTGGTTTGACTGCATTTGGGACTCTCGGTTCTAGAGATGTTACAGGCCAGAGCATCGCCAAGCCCTGAACATCCGTGACGTATCTAGACGCATTGCTCGATCTTTAAAATAAGACGGACGCTTTCAACATAGCCGGTGTCTTCTTATATGGTGTCACTGAGATTTTACTGATCGAATTTTTGAGATTCTTTGAAGTACTTCTAACAATTCTCTGCCCTTTTTTAGGAGTGGAATTGCCAAACTTATACAATGACGACGTTTAAAACGTTCTAATACATGTTCGGGTACAGAGAACGAGATTAGTAAAATGCAAAACTCAACAACCGAATTCATCAGATCACTTCTGATGTTCATTGGAATTTTAGTTTTCTGTATCTTTTGAACGCTCTCTGAACTCTGCTCAAAGGCTTAAACACTTCCCTGATGTCACGATGAAGGCAAAAATAATTTATGCTAACTCACCACGAAGATATTGAATATTGTGTGGATACTTTAATACACGGGACTTACATTTAGCACTTCAAAGTGTAAAGTGGTCCATCTGAGACACGATACAGACTATAGTTACAACTTAAGAAACTCTTCTCTAGAAGAAGATCTAGGAGTGCCGGCACCCTACGATTTGAAGACTAACACTAACTGATGAAAATGCCTTTCAGGCAAACATTGCACTGGTAACATTGAAGCGCAGTTTTGTCCATTTTGACGGTATAACTTTCCGCATGATCTTCAACAGTTTTATTCGTCCCCATTTAGGATACGGAAACATAGTATTTCCTCCCTCAATTCAAAAGGATAAAGGCACTATGTAGCGTATCCAAAGGCAAGCCACGAAATCAGTTCGGGGACACTATTCAAGCCTTATGAAGAGCGCCTCCAATCACTTAACCTTTACCCATTAGAGTATAGTCGTCCTAGAGGTGACCTAACGGCTTACAGTACCATGAACACTTCTGGACATCCACTTAAACACCTACTTAAGTCTAAATCCAACACAAACCTAAGGGGTAACACCTAGAAACTGGAGACACAACATGGCAGAACGGGCTGTAGACACAACTTCTACTCCCTAAGAGTTATCAAATGCTGGAATTCGCTGCCGGCCGGGCTAGTCAAAGCGACTTTCTGGGAGTCCTTTAAGAGGAAACGTGACATATTCTTAAGGGTTGAGGATAATATCTTACTATGATTTACCAATTTCTTTTTCCTTTTATTATCGTTAATATACCTAGATTCTTGCTTGAAAGTACTGGTGAATCACTGCTGCTACACACGGAAGCCCGTTAGGCGAAAGCTTCTTCTATTCCGTCCACAACCACTTGAACCATTTGAACAGTAGTTTTGCTGAGCGCGTATTACGGAGGCGTTTCGTTTATGATCTGGCAATAAAGATGGATCGGAAGGCAGCAAATTTTGTTCACTCACAAGCCGTTTCTAGAGACTACATATCACAGCCTCGTATAAGTGAGTTCAGTACCAATGGTGGTACGGTTTACTTTTTCTCAATAATAATTTTCAATCATAATTACTCATTCCTGATAGTCAGGACGTCTGTACGAACCTTCTCCAATCATTTTAGCATTATTACAGATGTTTATAGGTGCTCTGTGACACTAAAGATCTTGATTTTGATTGTTTGCGTTAGTCTTGGTTATTACTGCGGAGATTGTGGATGTGCCACAGTCTTCTTAAAACCAGAAGTTTAGCTCCAAGAAACTATCTGTGGTACAAGATTTTATCACGACAATTGATAACATTAGAAAAAAGGTTTTGATACGGAGTTTTTAGGTGGATATACGTCAAGTTTGTTAGCTGTTCCCCGGAAATCATTCACAGCCTGAGGGATCATGGTTGAATGACAGTCCAAGTAACATTGGTTCTATGCAACATATGCACGTTTCTAGTAAAATTTCTTTGATTCCAACCCCTACTGCTCTTTCTGTCAGCCTTCAAAGTATTAGCAGGTGAATAAGACTTACCTGCATGTATCCTACGCTATATTGTGTAGTTAAGAAAAATGTTAGTCGCGCGTATGTTGTTTGACCAGTTATAATCCATAATAGTTAGTTTGTACTACTTAAACCTCACAAAGTTGGAAATTTGAAAAATCCGAGTGTGGAGAACTTACATCAATTGTATTTCGATTGGCTCCTTAATAGGAATTATAAGTTCCACTTATTAATCGTCCAGGTGTATGAACAGCAAATAAAAATAAGACGATCATAGAGGAATAAGAACTCGTAATTATGAGGTAAGTAGGGAGTGCACTTTAAGTTAGTTTACTACGCAGTGTATTTTAAAAAATATGTGTATAATCCATACTTCGAATAACATTTTTATAGTGGTTGATGAATTGTAGTTTGTATATTCCAATGTTCTTCGTCATTATCAAAAATACTACACAAGTCTTAAGTATGTGTAACACTATATTTGATGTTCCGGTTTAGTTATGTCTATTTACACTGACCACATAGTTATAATGAACAGTCGATTTTGTTGACTCTTCACTTCTTTAGTTAAAGTTATTCCTTAGTTGTGTTTTGAAATTTATTTTGCAGCCTACAAAACCGTCTCAGGAGTAAATGGACCTCTCGTCATACTTGATGATGTAAAATTTCCTAAATTTGATGAGATTGTGAGACTAACTCTTGCTGATGGCAGTCAGCGAACAGGACAAGTTTTGGAAGTTTGCGGCAAAAGGGCCATAGTCCAGGTATTCGAGGGTACTAGCGGTATTGATGCAAAAAACACTGTATGTGAATTTACAGGAGATATCCTTCGTACACCTGTGTCAGAAGATATGTTAGGTATGTTTAGTTTATATAAATCTCAGGCATTTCTAAGGTCGTATATTCAATGGTTCTGGAAAACCGAAAGACAAAGGTCCAGCAATCCTTGCAGAAGATTACCTCGACATTCAGGGTCAACCAATAAACCCTTGGTCACGCATTTATCCAGAAGAAATGATCCAAACTGGCATATCAAGTATCGATGTGATGAACTCGATTGCACGTGGCCAAAAAATCCCCATATTTTCCGCTTCTGGTCTACCGCACGATGAAATTGCTGCCCAAATATGTCGTCAAGCTGGTCTAGTCAAGTTACCCGGAAAAAGCGTTATAGATAGTGATGTAGACAATTTCGCGATTGTATTCGCAGCAATGGGTGTTAATATGGAGACTGCTCGGTTTTTCATGCAAGATTTTAAGGAAAATGGTTCAATGGAGAATGTGTGTCTGTTTCTAAATTTGGCGAATGATCCAACTATCGAGCGCATTATAACACCTCGAATCGCTCTTACAACAGCCGAATATTTGGCTTATCAATGTGAAAAGCATGTGTTGGTTATCCTTACCGATATGAGTTCATATGCAGAAGCATTGCGTGAGGTAATTAGTAGTGTTCTATAAACGTACCGTAATTTGAATTAAGTAAAAGTATGATCTTGGCGGAGAGTCTGGACTTGCCAGGTACTGATTGGAATGTGGGTGCGTAAATCGAGTGATGACTCACAACTCTATATTGCCACATGAACTGCTTTTCTACGCATTGTAATTGTAGTCTGTATATTATAGTGTGCGGTCATTGATCCGTATTGTTTTGTCATTTTCCTTAAAACTTTTCATAAAAGTCAAGTCTCATGTACCGGAATAGCTCGGAAAATCGTAGAGGAGTTACCACACTATACGCTACATATGCTGCGGAGGTAATTATTATTTTCCGATTATTTAGACACTGGTATAAGTTTTAGTCTTGAGCCACCACTTAGTAGACAAAGATTATGAAGCGAGATAAATAAGGTTATATGGGTTTCTAAACCAAAAATTCGAATTTAGTTCAAAATATATGTGGATAAGCAATTTTCACAATATGATGCAATGGTCCATTAAGGTGATTATTTTCCTACCACCACTTCTCTCGAACTTGATAATTTTCTTTCTCTGTAGTAATATGCTTTGGGATCTTGATTTATGCACACCTACCGACTTGAGCCAATGTATATTTTTTTCAAGTCTCACTTTATATAAACTCTGCTTCGATGGAACCCTTATCAAATAATTATTTTGACTGCTTAGTAAACCAGTTTAATATTCCTACCCAGCTGCTCATTCTTAATCATCAGCTCTGCCATACTCCAATGTGTTAGAGTGAAGTACTAAACATACGTTGAAAAAGTACTTGTTAACACGTGTTTGAATATGTAATGGTCTAGAAAGGATAACTATCGTTTCTACTCTTAACATAGGATTATTTACAGTTATTTTTACTATCAGCTTCTTTCATAATATGATCTTTGTCGTTTAGGTATCGGCAGCTCGTGAAGAAGTACCAGGACGTCGTGGTTTCCCGGGTTATATGTACACTGATTTGGCTTCAATTTACGAGCGAGCTGGTCGGGTTGAAGGTCGCTCAGGGTCAATCACACAGATTCCAATTTTAACTATGCCTAATGATGATATTACTCATCCTATTCCTGACTTAACAGGTTATATTACAGAGGGTCAAATTTATGTTGATCGTCAATTACATAACAGACAGGTTAGTGGAAAACTGGAGTATTTCACTTACTGGGTTGTTAATTAGTTTATTCTTTTACATGAATTACTCTTTTTGAGTTTAATGAGTACATACTTCAGTATAGTTAGTTTATCCAAGTTTTAATGTCACCAATGTGGCCAGATATTGAAACTGGAACACTCGTTTAATCCTAGCTACGAGCCATTTGACTTACATTTTGGCATTTGGGGTGTTAGGTACTAGGTTCAAATCAAAATTTAAACATCACTGCCGTGATACTGGTAGATTAACTTGACAACTACCTAGTAGAATGGGACATGCATCGTGGATTCTACTACTAGCCACAATCTAACCATACTCAGTTATGCCAACCCATGTTATGATTTTAATCATGTCAGTGCGAAAATTTAAGGATTATTTACGTTATAAGCGTCAAATCATATTAAAATTCAACACTAGTCAATCAATCTGAGATGTAGTAATAGTGTTTGGTTTTGTTGTTATGCAGTGTGATTGCGATTCTTATAACCAAATCTATTTTTTCTTAAGAACGATGATACACATTCACTTTGCTACATAGACCCATTTTTATTTTATAACCTTAAAAACTCAATTTATTCACATCAAGTTTATTAGAAATGTTTCATGCAAAATTAATATTGTACTATTTAAGTTTTCAAAACATTAATTATTTATTAATAATAAGAATTAATTAAATTCCATGCGTTACATTACCTAGTAGTAATACATCATTAATAGTCTATTTTTACAAATAACTGAACTTTTGATGAATATATTGGATCCTATCTGAGTTATTTCTTATGGTCCCCGAATGCCCTGGTATGGCCGAGAGTCCTCCCTCTCGAAACGCTTTCATAGAACCACGTGTTTATAACCTCTGCCAAGGAAGTCCTGCTCACTGCCTTCTCTCGGGGTGTTGTTAACGAAATTGGGAGAACGAGAAGCGAATACCTGGCGCTTAAACTACATTGTCGGGTACGAAGTGTTCACCCTGATTCAAAACCAATGGCGTGCAAATCCATTCTTGGTCACTGGATGCTATAAGACTACATCTAACGTTGCTTCACCGCCTCGTGGACTAGGTCTGTAAGTCAAAGGTCCGGGGGACGACCCCTTAAAAAAACCAGTTCGGAAATCCGGGTAATATCCCAGCCTACACAAAAATTTAGTGATTTGTGTGGCGCATATATATCTTGGTGTCTCTTTAGTAGCAATGTTTGTGTTTTTGAATGAATGGATAATTTTTTCCGACACTAAGTTACTCATTATTTGACTATTACCATGTCTTTTTTTGACGGGAATATTTCTATCATCTGTATGGAATGAAAAATCACATAGATCTATCCTCCAATCAATGTGTTACCGTCGTTGTCACGTCTGATGAAATCTGCCATCGGTGTGAATATGACTCGTGAAGATCATTCTGATGTGTCCAATCAGTTGGTAAGTTTTTTGTTTACCTAAATTTTTGGTTAGTGTGCTTACGGAGGTGATGATGAGCTGAGTCGGTTTCTCTAATTTACTGTGAAAAATTCAGTGTTGAAACAGTTACGACCAATGTTGATGAGGAGTTTATGTGGTAGAGAATAACGCTATTCAGTTGAATACTCATCAAAGAAATTCTATAAAGGTAAAATATCACTTACAGATATTCTGGAAAACCAAATCGAAGCTATTGATAGGTTTTTTATTCATTGGTTAATACCGTAACGTGATATCTACTCTTTGTATTCGAAAGGATTGTTAGTATTATATAGAGCGTTTTCAATCATAATGGGGATCATGATTAAATGAATGGTATCGTCCTAAAACATCGGCTTGGTGATGCATCGCAAAACTCGTCTCAAAGTTTTACATTAAAAACTGACACTGGCACTAACTGTTGACAGAGCGATGGTTCATCTGTTACCATCTTCCGTAACTGTAAAAAGTAACTATACTTATAAGATATTCATTGACCCATCGAGGTTCCTTTTATCAAACCGCTCAGTGACTTGAGCTGTTCGTGATTGAACCCAGTAGCCGTCTTATCGTAATTCACTATTTAATCCTTTGAAAGACGGAAGACCTTCAAAAAACGTCTCAAATCATTGAATTATGTGTTCTGTTGAACGCCGTCCAAGGACTTATGATTTACAAACATTTATTTGGATATTGTTGTGAACTGATCATCTTTCCAATTTTTCCCTCAAGCACTCGTCAGGGATATCCAACTTCAAGAGGCCTCATTTTGCAACCTCAACATAAAATTGCTCACATTCCAGGATTGTCCCTACCTCCACATAACTTGCTTGTGAAGCTCTCAATTGTCAACTGTGTCCTAACTTTCCCGAAAGAATGTTTGGTTTTATCTCTTGCAACGTTGCTAGCTTTCACACAGCTTTTGAGTTACATGGATTTCTCGACTATTTTAGAAACTTGATTCTGAAGGATAGATAGGAACACAAGCTCTTCCTTTTGGGTACTGTAAGAATTTGTATAGGAGCTGTTGTTCATTTCTAATTATTTATTCTCTGTTGGGAACCACTCTTATGGATGCTAAACTTTCAGAAGCTATACACAGTGTGATTTGTCCACACATAGTACGACTTTTAATTCCATATAGTGAATTTTTTTCATGGGTGCTAAGTTTCACTACCATTCATTTATCTTCATATTTGTAATATTTACGCATTAATAACTGATCCTTCCATTTTCTCTTCTTTATTCTTTTTATTAACAGTATGCATGTTACGCAATAGGAAAGGATGTCCAAGCAATGAAAGCTGTTGTTGGTGAAGAAGCATTAAGCCCAGAGGACTTACTTTATTTAGAATTCCTGACAAAGTTTGAGAAGAATTTCATTTCTCAAGGTTAGTTCAATTATCTAAACAATCTCTTTCATGCAAATGTCATCATAATTCAAACGTCTTGGTATAAGGAATAGCCACTTATGTATGTAATCGAGAAAAAATTACATATACGACCCAATTTAATTTGGAAGTCGTCAACATCAACTCATAACTATGATTCGGTTATATTCTGAATTCACGCCTCACAGTTCATCATAATCAACATGGAGCTTGACATAAATGTTCATCACATCACATCACCATAAGAAATCAACACAGTGAGATGAAATTAGCGAAATAAGTAATAAATGAGTCAAAATAGTAGTTGTATCGCTGAAAGTGGAAAAGACTAAACCCTGATTGGTATATTGATTATGTGAATCATTGTTTGAACTAATAGATTTGAAGTTGTTAGGCACCGAGTTAACTAGAAGCGTTATTAGGAAAATTATACTCGTAGAAATGTTAGTGATTGTACTAAAAATAGGGAACTCACATTCTTACTAGTGAGTTGTTCAGTCGACAACCAGTGTTACTTAGCTTTCATTAATGGCCTTTCATTTGAGTACTTAAGTCTTGTAAATGCCAACCAGTTGAGCTGTTTTAAAACTCACTGATTTTTTATGTTCTGTTGTTCTTGTTGTGTCTAATTGAATTAGGTGCTTATGAAAACCGTAGTGTATTTGACTCACTAGACGTCGGTTGGGAACTCTTGCGTATATTCCCGAAAGAATTGTTGAAGCGAATTCCGTCAAAAATATTGGAGAAATACTATCCTCGTTAATTGGTTAGTTGATTTACCCTGTTATCCTCGATTGTGAGTATTCCTACCATGGAAGTTGCGTTCTTTATTGGTTGAAGTAAACTCGGAATAACGTATATTATCGTCAGCTTTTGCATTCCTATTTATTTTCTTTCCTAGCGATTATCACTCATAATTTTCATTGCCTATAATATGTATAATGGTGGCATTATCCATCCATCATCACAAATTACTTACTCATAATTATGATTTGATTTTGTTTAAATGTTCATTCCATTTACGAAGTTTCCCACCATAGTTTTCTACTACACTGTATTTTCTCTGTTCTGGATATTCAAACACTTCGCTTCTCATTTTTTCTTTACACATTTCTAGATACATTAAATCTTTCTATCGTTTGAATTTTTAAAATAAACTGGAAGCATAATATAAACACTAGTAGTTGAGGTATCATTTAAATAGGGCTATGGGTTTCATTTTTTTTATCTTTCATTTGATTTGATTTTGTGCTCATAACTTCTAATTACCGATATTGAACAATTATGATGATAATAATAGTAATAATATATGTTCTTCACCAGTAATGTCACTTAAAACATGCATACATAGTAGGACCGTAAACAAAGCAAAAATGATACTTGCTCCGAATGATGAGAGATGTGCCTTGTAGTACACAATTCTGTTTTCCAAATAGTTGATAACTTACGGATGTTTGAATACTAGTGTACACTGACCACACACACACGCACACACACATAGATTGCTTTAATTGCATTGTGAAAGCTTTTTTTCACAGAAAGAGAGCGAACAAGTAGTTCGCAGTGAGATATGCAGTTTCGAAGACAGAAGCATATAATCAGTTATTGGAACTGTAAAATTGGAAATAAAACGTCATTTTGACAAACAGACGAAGAGTTAGAGTGGAGGAAGCAAACCAGCCCACTGAAAATATTACTCTTTACAAGCGCTAGTATAACTCATACTGGACGATACGTAGTGAGCCAAAGAAACAGATTGGATAAAATGGTACGTGCATAGATACATAAAGCACACATTAGATACAAAAAGTAGGATTACAAAGACTGAGTTATGAGATATATGTGAAGGTACTGTAATTATTATTGGTAGTAAAAGCATTAGTACCAGTAGTAACATTTGTTGTCGTTGTATGAAATGAATCACGACTGGGAAGCAATGCAATGATATTTGACTAACAGTTTTAACACGAATAACGATTCCTTGTTTGAATTTTTAAAGTTTTCGTCACAACCTAACATTAGATGCTCAACAAAAATGTATTTCCAAACGAAATCCGACTGATTTGTTCGTATACTTCATTGCTACTCATTATCTTTAAAGTTCCTTCTTTATCTGCGTTCACAAGCCAATTACTAACGTTGAAGTGTTGTGTGACAGACATTCAGTCGATCCGAGTTCCTATTCGCTAAGTCGTACTAAAAGAGTCGTTCATAAATAGAATTCACCGTGGACAACACTCAAACCTTAGTCATTCTCGTTGAGATTTAATTGTGTGAACGTAAGCACCAGAAATGATTATGTCTCACTTACATTAAAACTACCCAATGTATGTTATGGCTTACTATCCCATGGATTACATTGATTCATTTATCACTGAGAAATTTTGTCAGTATTTTTTCACATATTCGATTTTCATTCAATAATATAACATAGTCAACTTGAATAAATTATCCTCTTGTAAATACTTGCTTATCGATGTTGTGAGCAGAACGTTTCATTTTATGATTGTGTATCGAATTGTAATTAAAAGAATATGGATTTCATTTTTATTTTGTATGTATGTTTTTGTTTTCGAAATAGTTCGATAAACGTGAATTCGACCATTTTAATTGTTTATTTATGTACTTTGATTTCTATGAAACGACAACATATATCTACTTATTTTACATAAATGAAACAAACTCACAAAATGATCATCGCAAGTCATGTAGCTAAGACCAAGAGTAGTATAATAAATGGACTATGATTCAAATACTTATTCAGGTTAACAATCATGTTATACAAACATGTGTAAATATGGTTGCGTTACCATTGATAATTGCTTGGTATAGTTGACAATAGCACTTAAAGTAAAGTTTTTCGTCGATGATTTTGGTCTGTGCTTATTATTCATCACTGATTTATACAAAATTCGATTAAACTAAATAGTATTTTGGAAATACCACTTAGGTTAGTTGGATGTAAAAAAAATAACCGAACATCATTATAAAACTACTTGACATTGAATACCATTAGTGAGTGGTATTGTTCAAATTATTGGTTGACGAGGTTATGTGGAGTAAATAAAGTCGTCTCCATGCAACATTCAAGTCTACATATCTATCAGAAGAGAATATGTTTTAGATGTTGAAATAAGATCTTCGAATTAACTCTCCATAATGTTAGACTCATTGTACAGTAAAGTATGCTTTAAACATCTGGAATAAAACATCATAGAAAATTATAGTAATATAGAGACAAAACTGAACGATTACACTGTCTGGCATTGTCTATGAAAAGGTTGGTGTTATTTGTACTAATTGGAAGCAGATTGTATGAAATCGATAAGTCACTAAGCGAATATTTGTTTTTCAGTGTTACCGGACAACAATGTATAGAATAAATTGAATTGTCTAAACACTGCACTCAAATCGGCCGTTTTCGTAAATAAGCGGGTAATGTTTTTATGAACTGTTAAACCGTAAATTTGTGGAGATAGTCTAAATCCGTTTAATTAAGATTCAAACCTGTTGTGAGTGATACATTTTCCTATTTATACAGGAAATTACTCCACTTCAGAATAAATAAATCATTGAAAAGTAAGTATAGTTACATAAACATCTTCCAAGTAGCATACTCGAGGGTATATACAACGAAAGTCTAATATCTTTGTGCAGTCAAATGTCCGATCACTACTACAAATCTGTTAGTTTACTTTTTAATGAAATGCATCTCACCCGACCACTTTGAATTGAATTATGATTATATCAGTATATCAAATGACAAAACATGGTCGTTGAGTTGATGCTGAATTAGGATTCAAGGAATATGAAAGAATCCTTATCTATATTTCCACAGACGAGTATTTAGTGTGTAGTTACTGAAATGCCTTCTAAAATATATTGATTACTAATCAAGGTTGATATTCATTTAACAAATTTCTTTCTTTTTAAGTCAATCACTTATTCTGAAATCCTGTAATACTTCAAAATATACAACAACCTGTCATTATTTAAGAATATACGAATGCTAGTATTCGATCTGTTAGATGGAAGTGATCTTACCAACAGGATTGATTTGATTAATCAATATTTAAATGCTGAAAATTTCACAAATAATTGGAGTTGGAAGCAAATGATCATTTCATTATATTTGTGTTCTAATACATTACTTACGCCTGTTAAACCTCGTCGAGGAGCATAGGCCGCCCACCAGCATTCTTCATCCAACAGTGTTCTGGACAATCCTTTCCAGTTACTTTTCATACATGATTCCAATTCTCGACGTAGTGTGTTTTTGGGCATTCTTGTTTTCTATTTCCCTTCTGGATTCCAAATTAGCACTTACCTCGTTATGCACTTTGGTGATTTTCGTAATGTATGTCCTATCCACTTCCAACGTCTTTTCCTGATTCGCTCTTCAGCTTGAAGCTAGTTTGTTCTCTCCCACAATAGGCTAATGCTGATCGTAACCAGCCAACGGATATTGGTTCTAATACATTGGTAGCAAGTAAATATTGTCTTTTCATACCTCTGAAACATGATTAAATTCACAACATTCGTTCATTATTTCTGTATCCATTCTAATTTATCTCTTCGATTGCTATCACACACAAACACATGTAGCGAGTGATTATGTACAGTTACTGTTGTATTTTGAATGCTTGGTGTTTTATAAGACTATGTTTTATAGTAATTCGTAGTGCGTAGGTGGTTGATGACTATTAAAACCCCTTCTGATTGTTATGGCCCAAAGCCGCCAATCAGAAGCAGCGAATTATCGATCGGACCAAGGACGCGTAAAACACGTGCGAGTAGCCTAGAGTCCTGATTGGTCCTGCTTTAAGTCCAGAATACCAGTCTCAGCCTCTGTAATATGGATCCTCATATTTCAAACATACTGAGTTTATGTACCAATCAAGCAGACCACAACGTACCAATAAAATATGAAACAACATTTGTACAAGAATTAGCCAGATGTGGCTGTGAATAAGGGAGGTAGTATTTAATATACTGGGTATAACTCAAGAATGGTAAAACTTATAATAATGGTTTATGGGTCAAAATAAAGTTTATAATAAGAGGAACATGGATAGTTTAGTTATTTGACAACTATACGATAAAAATGTACATTTAGTATTGGTCCATAAAAGGATCCCAAAGTTACCATTCATTATGTTTATCGGGACCTAACACTGATACTAACCAACATGTGCTCACTAGTGACTGGCTTCAAGAGGTATATCCTGGAGTTCTAGTGGAGTTCAACCGGGTATGCTGTGAGAGAGTAACTCACTGAAGACAATGGTGGGTGTGTCGCTCAATTTCGTGGATTTGTTGAAGTTAGACATTAACACCGTTGGATGCCAGTCGGCTCAGTGGTCTAGAGGTCAAGCGCTCGCGCGTGAGACTGCTAGGTCCTGGATCGATGCGCACTGCTGAGGAGTCCCACAATAGGGCGAAATAGCCGCCCAGTGCTTCCAGGCTTTCCATGGTGATCTAGCTTCAATTGATTCATGATCTCAACTATTGAAATTAGTACAATCTCCACAAAACCCTTTCTGATACAATTAAAACAGTCATTTATAAATAAATATTAATTAAAGATAGTCGAAGTACCATCAAGATGCTTTATTGGATCATCGGTATAATTCAAATTCATATTTAGTTCAAACATGTAAATAATAGATAAAAATATATGTGAGATTTACTACAGTTTTTGTTAGATATATTTACCTTAATAGTGGATTCAACTTGATGATTCAATTGATATTACAATGTGAATGAAGTATTTTTTTCTTTCTTTTTTAATATATTCAAGTCAATTGTGCATAATTGATACTGTGACCCTAAAAACACTATTTACTAATGGAGTCAATTTGATGACAAGACAGAGTTGATTTCCGATTTACATTTATATTCAATAACTAACTTTGTTATTAGATCAGTAAGATATTAATTTAGCTTTGAAATGAATTATCAACAACTGATAAGACTTATTATTTGAACTCCTTGGTTATTTATGATAGAATCATTTGTTGATTTTAATCGTTTTAATGTTTTACTTTCTGTTATGTCGTTTTTACCCTGTTAATCATATTATGTGATGCGATCGCCAATTAAAACACGAACCTAGCACTGTAACAGACCATTGATGCATAAAGCAGTACGAGGAGCCTAGAGTGAACTCTGAGTTGTTATTGGTTCACGCAGCCGGTTCAGTTCAGAACGTCAATATCAGCCTTCGTTATATGAATCATGTATTGCAAACATACGCAGTTTATATACAAATAGATCAGACCGCATCATACTATATAATAGAAAACAACAATTAGGCAAGTTCTGACCAAAAAGTGGCCGTGATTGTGAGACACTAACTAATAAATTGGGAATAACTTAGGAATAGCAAATTGTATAATAGTAATCATTAGGCCATATGAAATCTTATAATAAAAGGAATATAAATATACATATAATCTAGTTACTTAATAGTTATACAATATGAATATATTATGACAATAGTTCATAAATAGATCCTAGAGGTTATCACTTATTCTTCATCCGTATATAATACTTTCTGTTTGACTTAATTCCCGTTGTGAACCAATCTATGTATCATGTATATAAGTTGTACATGATTTAATTTATATCCTCATTAATTGTTATATTTCAGAGAAATGTTCCACTTATGAAACTGTTATGAAAATCAAATAATCGTACAAAACTTATATTTTGTAATCAATTATTATACATAGTGAAACCAAGATTACTTGATAAGGAATTCATTAATTTCTACCATAGCAAAATCGTCTTTGCCTATCGAAGTTGTGTAGATGAATATCATTCCAATCTTGACTGTTATACATATTCATATGATATAGTAATTTCAGTTTTTATTATGCATTGCCTTCATTTTATAGTATTACATAACAATCTTTTGAAAGTAATATACTAACTGATACGTATTACACGGTAAATATCAATGATTATGAAAAAGATAATCATTGTGATGCATTCGGATTCTCTTTATTTATTTGAACACATAAATAGTGGTAAAAAGGGGCACCGAATGCATGTACACCATACAAGTTACTTGATTTGTGTGTGAGCTATGTACTACCCGGATGCCCAGACCGAAGCAGATGTTTTTCTTAAGGGGCCACACCCGGAGCTTTCCACCTGAAGATCTGATCCACAAGACAATAGAGCAACGTAAGCAGATGTCGTCTGATGGTAGCCGGTGACCAACCATTGGTTCATACGCCATTTGTTCCCTCAGGATCCTGGAACTCATGTGCACCACTGGTTTGGAATCAGGGTTCTCCAACTCCCCTAGGTGGACCCTCCGTGCACACCAACCCGGTTAAAGTGCCTGACACTCGCTTTTCGTCCTCTCGATTTCGTAAACAACAGTAATACCACGAGAAGGCAGTGAGTAGAACTTCCCTGACAGTGACTGTATACTTATGGCCATGTGAAAGCATTTGAAGAGGGAGAGCTGACTCTCCCCACCCTCGGCCATAACAAGGCATTTATGGGTATAGTTGAATGCCCAATAAAATCTCAGTTAATTATGTTCAGTAAATCATTTGACTCAGCTTACTTGACTATCATCGTTTCTACCCACACACTCACTTTGATTAAACGACTACGTAAAACCAAGAAGCACTGAGTAGCTTATTTGTCTAAAGAAATAATCAATCATACTAGAAAACCTAAACAATAGAGATAACTTTTCAAATGATGATTAAGTTGATGTGTGTGAATTAACCATATTAGAATGAAACGACCTTTCAGTGCTTTCATCTTGTTAATAATGGTCTAACATTGACCAGTTCATAACCTCCATTAAAATTATTACGTGTTAAGCATGAAACTTTAATACTGAAGTAGTCAATCATTATACATTTGAGTT